AAAGCTATTTGGATACTTCACTAAATTAGAAGGTTTTTAAAATTTTTTTTTCTTATATCAGTCCAATTTTTAATCATTTAAACGTACCTGTATGACAGAACAAACATTATATTGAAGAATTGATCGAAATTAGAACACAAAAGTTTTGACAAAGAACATGAAGATTAAAACAAAGAAAGAGACTAAAAAATCATTAAGTCCCGGCTGCACTAATTAGGAACAACCCAGATAGGTGATGGTTCCAACCTCCTCAAATCATCAATTCCTCTAATGATGGAACCATCTCCCAAGTTGAAGATTCCCATGTCATGACCGCCATACTCGTAATGCTCATCCATTCTGTGTGTTGTCAATTTCCGACCACACTGTCATCAAGCACTCAGCTGGAGAATACTGGCAGAATAGATAAGCTCGAACGACCTGTCACAAAAAGAAAGAGATTTGGCGGTAGTTCATCCACCCGAGGGCACTCCGACGATCAAGTCAGTTATCTCTCAAAGATAGCAAAAGTGCTTAACTCATTATTCAGAGCATAAAAGCATACTTTAGACCCATGGGGGTACCTCTCTTTATAGCCAACACTTACCTAAAACGCAATAGAAGCCTAGCTTCAATGGACTTAGCATTACTGCTAATCTTGAACTCCCAGTAGGATTTGGATAAACTCTCAAAGAGTCTTATCTTTACCCAACTGAAGTCATCTCCCATTCTAGGACTCTTGTCCCTTATCCGCTTATCCCGGATTCCTGTTTCTTCGCAGATAACCTCGACTTAGCTAAGATGATCTCGGCGTCATGACCAGGACACGTGACACTCGGCTAGCACTTCAGTGACACCTCGGCCAGCACTTCAGTGACACCTCGGCCAGCACTTCGGTGAACCCGGCCACGTGTTGTCATTCAAAAATATGTCCCTACAACTGCCCGTAGGTTCTATTACCTCGGTACCCTGAGGTGATGGAACTATATCATCCTTTGTTTAATCATTATCCTGGTTTAATTTAGCTTGTAAAATTTTCTCAAACTTTCAACAAGTGTTAAACATGACCTCGGTTTAACTTCAATTTGTAAATTTTACTTAAAATTTCAACAAGTGTTAAACATGATATCAGTTTAACTTCAATTGTTAAATTTTCTTAAATTTCAACAAGTGTTAAACATGACCTCAGTTTAACTTCAACTTGTAAATTTTTCTTAAATTTCAACAAGTGTTAAACATGACCTCAGTTTAACTTCAACTTGTAAATTTTTCTTAAAAATTTCAACAAGTGTTAAACATGACCTCAATTTAACTTCAACTTGCAAATTTTTCTTAAATTTCAACAAGTATTAAATCGATCTTGGCTTGAAAATTCTAACTCACAGGCATCATTCTCCAGCCCTCTGCATGGCTTCCACCTACTCTGTTGTGGACCTTATATGAAAAGTCTTTAACTTAAGTGAGCTTTTCTCTTCTCGGACTTAATCAGATCTTGTCTTCTGGAATCTGGGATCTGCTGACTTTAGGCTGAGCTCTTCTCTTCTCGGACCTAATCATCTAAGCTGAGATCGTGTCTTCTGGGATTCTCCATGCCCGACTCTCCACGAAGGCCGGTGAGAATGTCCCTTGGTCTCGCCATGCTGAGGGACTGCAAGAACCATTTTCTGCCCCCCTTTCTAGGCACCTTTCTTGGCCGCTGAAATCGGCGTATCTTGTAAAGAGAACGGTGGCTGCATGACGTTGTTCTGTATCATGAAATTGACGACCGTTTGTTGGTCTGCCAATTTGTCTACCATTCCCTTCATCTCGTCGTCCCTACGCAGGCTCTATCTTTCTATACCTGAAGGTCGTCTCATTATAATACCCGCTCTGATCCGATTTCTTCAGTATGCCGTCCTTTTGGCCGACGTCCTTTTCTCCGTGATTTTTATCACGAGTCTCTTCATTGCAGTTGTCTTCTTCGACGTCAAGGTCAATATGTTTCCCACTGTCACGACCCAAACCCGGCCCTATGGGTTTAACACCGTAACCGGCCAGTAATCCGAGATTACCGAAGGCCTGCAAAACAGAAAGAACAGTAAAACAGAGTACAGGGCCTGGCGGAAGCCAAAACAGTAAATAAACAATGTCCAATGAGCTGTGACAGTCTGTATGCAAAAAGACTTTTCATACATATATACATAATCAGTACAGAACAGTATGCACAAAATGCACAATCATTCAGACTAGGGACTCAACCCTTTACATCACAGTACAGTAAGCATTCAGTCTATACAAAACAGTAAGACAGTACAGAAGGGGGAATTGTAAAACACCCCTAAGCCTTAACATGATAGGCTCGGAACCTCGCAGTGAGGCACGGTAGTTGGCTTGACAAAACTGGAGTAACTCTGACGCTCCTAGCCGCGGTCTGGTGCCTGAACACCTACATATATATAAGAGCAGTGAGCTAAAACCCAGTGAATAACATAATGCGTAAAGGGGTTAAGAATGAATATCCTTACAGTAATGAAAACAGTTCATTAAATCAGTATTTCAGTCGTTCAGTCAGTACAGTCATATGTGGTACACCCATTAGCATAACAGTACAGTAAACAGTAGGTCTTAAAAGACCGAGCAGTAATGATGGCCATCAGTCAGTAAACAGTGGTGGTTCCAACAAGGGAACCGACAGAGAATTCTCTCACAGTAACAGTAAACAGTAGGTGCTAAGGATCCACATACAGTTCAGAATATAGGACATATATTCATTCAGTTAACAGTAAATCAGTTCAGAAAACAGTACGGTTCAGTTGTTCAGAAGATAATCGTTTGTGAACATATCTTTACACAAACGTTACTCACAGAGTTTTGGGCTACAGTATGCTAGAGCGTGTCTCCCCAGTTGCCAACCCTACACAGTTAACAGATGAACACACTAAGCTACGCAGCTGGGAAAGATAATAACTTAATCCCTAATTTGCCTCGGTATGTTCTACATCTACGCCCTCATGAAGATGTCTTAAACTAGGCCTAAGAGTGCCTAGAATGGAATGAGGATGCAAAGATGCACGTTTAAAAGCAGTTTCAGAAGTTTCAGAAAAACAGAGTCCCGCTCGAGCGCGGTTTTACCCGCTCGAGCGGACATGCAATAAGGTACACGCTCGAGCGTCAACTTTCCCGCTTGAGCGTACTGTAAAAGTACTGGATAGGTGAAATCTCCGCTCGACGGACGCTCGACGCCCGCTCGATTGTGAGACACATGCCTCCGCTCGAGCGCCCAATCCTCCGCTCGAGCGAACTGTAAAACAGTGCAGAGAAAATACTGGATGCTCGGATTCCACGCTCGAGCGTCACCAGTCCCCGCTCGAGCGGAAGTGCAAAATCTGGAAAACCCAGATTGCACCTCCAAGCCAAAAACCAAGTTTTAACAACTCAAAACTCGACCTCTTGGGCTGAATTTCCAGAAAACATTTGTAAACACATAGTTAAACATGATTCAAAACTCAACTTTGAGAAATCAAAGCCCAAGGGTGTTTAATTCAAACCCAATTTCAAACCATTTTCAAGAACAGGATGAACATGCGAACATGCATGAATTCAAATCAGTTCAAAGCTTCAATTCGATGCTCTAAGGAGCCAATTGTTTCCAAAACATGATGAAATCATGGACTTAAACATAATTGTGAACATGCAAGTACCATTTTGCCATGAAAACAACTCAACATCTACAATACAACCATTCATGCAAGGATTGAGCTTCAATTCAACAACAATGAACCAAAACATAACTTAGTTCTACAATGAAGCATGAACCATGCACGAATTAGCTCAAGCACAAGAATTAGAAGATGAAATCCTTACCTAGGTCTTGTATTCAAGGTTTGGGAGCTCAAATAGCAATCTACACTTCAATTACCAAGCAATTCTTCAAGATGAATCCAATTTCTCTCACTCTCTCACTCTCTTCTGTCGGCTATGGCAAGGAGGAAGGCTGAGCAAATGTTTTGATTTAAGTGTGTACAAGGCTCAACATGTGTGAGGTAGTGGCCACTAAGTGGTCTAATGGTAATTAAGTCAAACTTAAGCAATTGATCAATATTTAATCTAATTTAATCATACCTAATCAGTTTTCAGATAAATACACCATAAGATCACATTAATTATGAAGATCATAAAACATCAATCAATTCCCGGTTTGGCCGCCGATAAGGCCTTCAATTAGCAGTTTAAACATAAAATGTGAACAGATCAAGTAAACAATCAAACAGATAGAATACACTCAGTCAATTCAGTTCCAGTTTTCAGTCAGTCAGTTCAGTACTTTAATCAGTTCAATTATCAGTCATAATCAGTTCAGTTTGACGGTAATCAATGTTTACCGGTAAGCAGCGATGAGGGTTATTACACCCACTCTCAGTAGGGGTGTCGTCCTCAACCTTCTCTTTCTGTCCATCGTTGGCCATCTATTCTCCTTCATTTCCCACATACGGCACCAAATTGTGCGTGTCAATTTCCGACCACACTGCCAATCAAGCACTCAGCTGAAGAATACTAGCAAAATAGATTAAGCCCGAACGACCTGTCACAAAAAGAAGAGATTCCAGCGGTGGTTCATTCACCCGGGGACACTTCGACGATCAAGTCAGTTATCTCTCAAAGATAACAAAAATGCTTAACTCACTATTCAAAGCATAAAAACATACCTTAGACCCATGGGAGTGCCTCTCTTTTATAGCCAACACTAACCTAATCCCAATAGAAGCCTAACTTCAATGGACTTAGGATTACTGCTAATCTTGAACTCCTAATAGGATTGGGATAAACTCTCAAAGAGTCTTATCTTTACCCAAACTGAAGTCATCTCCCGTTCTAGGACTCTTGTCCCTTATCCGCTTATCCTGAATTCTGGTTTCTTCGCAGATAACCTTGGCCTAGCTGAGATGATCTCAGCGTCATAACCAGGACACGTGGCACCTCGGCTGGCACTTCGGTGACACCTCGGCCACGTGTTGTCATTCAAAAATTATGTCCCCACACATTCAACCCCAATAGTCGTCTGTAAAATATATTGAATTCTTTTTATACTCTGAAAAGTCCAAAGCTGAGAGTGACGTGGACTGATTTCTACCCAAAAACAATATTCGATCCCCCAATGACTCCACCTTCTCCCAATTTTCCTTTTTCAAATCCAACTTGTAAACATGGAACAACTTTGTCATGTATAGATAAATCAAATCATGATCAATATCAGTCTTGCGAACAACTTCACCGTCATGCCTAACAAACTCACCAATGTACCTTATAACAATCAAGAGCTCACCTATTGACTTCACCAGGTAAAACTGGCTAGAATAAAGATCTCTCAGAGACTTCTCAAATTCAACCCTTTCCTCAGGAAAACAAGCTTCAATGTCCAGAACTTTTCTAGGAACAGAAAACCTAAAATCCCAAGCCTCAACAGAACCCAAATTGGCTAAAGCATATACGTAATCTTTGCAACATATGATATCACAGTAAGCCTCATGTGAACCATTGAGGTCAAACCAATTAGAGTCTCCACACCTAGCATAAGCAAGCTTTGATTGGAAACCAAAGCCATAGATGGCCACAATGCCATAGTTGTTGTCACTGAGAATTGGTTCTTTCCAGAGAACAGCTTTGGTAATGAAAGAAAGTGTGCGATGAAAACAGAACTAGACACTAACATCAAAGAAGAGATTGAAGATATGGGTTGTTTTGTTTTCATCCAAAAATAGCAGCCACCTTTGTGATGATCCAAGACACCGAGTCTGGACAAGTGCTTCGGGTATGTTCTTGAGATCGTATAACCTTTTCTCTGCATGATTGGCACAACAATGATTTAAAACCTTCTTGGTCATTATGAAAGTAGTCTAGTGAAGGAAAGAAGAGACAGGGAGGTTGAAGCTCTAAAGTGTATAGTGATGAAGATGTGATATGGGTTTTGGCAGCTAATCGCCAAGAACTACAAACAGCTCTGAAACGAAGAATGTCAATGAGACACAATCACTTTAGGATCAATTTTAAGAGATCATGGTGAAGATTAGGCAATTTGATTGTGATGTTTGTGTTTTGGTTTTCTTGAGATTTTTAGCCATTGCTCTCAAAACCACAGAGAAAATTGAATGGCTTTAAGAGATTTCTGAAGAGTAATGATTAGATTAACTTCTATACACACGGAATATTGAAGGCTTTCATTCCAAATCCACAACGGAATAGGAAACAAATATTGATTTTGATTTGGATTTGGATTTGGATTGGCTTTTTTTTTTTTTTTAATTTTAAGACTTTTTATGTTATTTTTTGAAGGGACACTTTTTTATAAATTCCTTTTCACCTACTTATGTTTCATTTAGTTCACATTATTTTTTTTTCTTTCAATAAGTCTCATGAGTGGCATAGTTACCAAAATACCTCTAATAATATTCACATTTACAGTGTGAATGTTCCGTGATGTGAATATTCACACCGTCAATGTGAATGTTAACAAGTTAATATGAATGTTCACACTGTCAATGTGAACATTCACATTGTAAAATATGAATGTTCACATTATCAAATTGCTAACCGTTCAAAATATATTTGTAAGGATAGAAATAGCTATAAAATCCTTTAAATATGAGAATTAAGATTTGGTAAATCAAATGTTCAAATAATGAAATTTATTAGAATATAAGAATATCTTATGAACTAATTAGAAGACAAACACTTAGAAAAGAATTTTCTAATAAATCTCCCTTTTTTCAACTATTGAATATTTAAACTTGTAAAAAATAAAAATTGATGAAGGGGAGGAGAGAAAATGAGAAGTTAATAGCCGGGCCGGTGAATAGGGTTTCTGCTAGGGAGAAAATGTTATAACTTACAAGTTTTTATAAAACAAATCTTACTAACACGTGCCATGTAATAATTTTTTTTGTTTTTTTTGACAAAATTTATTATTTTTTCTTTTGTAGACTTTTAAAATTTGTAATCTATTTTTTTTAATGAATGGTTGTGAAAAAAATAGATTGAATCACATTAGGCTCTCTTAAACTTTTATAACTATTAATTCTTTTCCCCTTACATTAAAATGTCTATATTACCCTTGTTTATCCCTGAAAAAATGATTCGTAACTCAAAATTCGTCCGGCTCGAATGGCCCGAACTGCCCAAAACGACTTTTTTTTTTTTTTCATTCTTTCCTTTTCATTCTTTTGAACACAGACAGAGAGGGAAGAGAAGAGGAGAGAGAGAGAGAGAGAGAAGAAGAGAAGAGGCGATCGACGGTGATGGTCAGTGATGGTGGCGGCGCCCGATCTCCTCTTTCAAATTTTTTTTTTTTTCTAAGTAGATCTAGATCTGAAAAAAAAAAAATTATTGATGATGATAATGTGTTGATGATGATGATGAAGATGTTGTTGTTGATGTTGATGTTGATGAAGATGTTCCTCTAATCCTCTGAAACTCTGTTTTCCCTCTTCTTCTTCTTTTTTCCCTAAGTAGATTTGGATTTGAAAAAATAAAAATAAAATTTGATGATGATGATGTTGATCAAGATGTTGTTAATGATGATGATGTTGATCAAGATGTTGATGAAGGTGTCCAGCTCCAGCTCCAGTTCCAAAAAAAATGAGAAGATGTTGTTGATGAAGATGCCAAAATGATCATGGGTGATCAGCACTCCAAGTGCTTCAGAAAAAACAAGAAAAGATAAAAAAATAAATAAATAAAACACCAAAACGGCACCGTTTCAGACTCGGGCCATTCGAGCCACATACCTTTCAAGCTACCAAACAGGATTGTTATCCCTGTGTCTACAAATCATATGCATACTTCCTCTAGATTTAGTCTTCATAAAAAGTAAATTAGTGTTATTATATCAAATTTGTGAAGGTATATTTAATTTTGGATAAATTACACTAACCTCCTCTAAAAATTGAAAAAATTACATTTAGCCCTATAAATTTAATATAATTACATTGGATTTTCTTAAGTTTTAATTCACATAATATTTTGTTTTATTTTTATCAATAATTCATTATTTGTAAAAATAAAAAAAGATATCATCATCTATTTTATAATAAAATATTTATTTTACGTTATTTGTTATTGTGTCTTCATACCATCTATATATATTTCAACCTCTTTAACTTTTACTAATTGAGAATTGTTATATGTGAGACTTATTTATAAGTCATTTTTCAGGCACTTATGGTAGGCTAAGTCCTGTGCAATTTCTTATAGAGTCTCAAGTCCTATTTAGATAGGAATGTATTCTACAAGATCCTACATAAATGTAACGTGACGTGACACTTACATAAATGTAACGTGACGTGGCACCTACATAAACGAAACGTAACGTAACGTGACACTTATATAAATGTAACGTAACGTGACACATACATAAACGTAACATAACGTGTCACGTTACGTTTCGCAAACTTAATGAGTTTTTATTTTTTTAAATTGAATGTGAAAATGTTGCTGGTTTATGTTGGTATCACGTTACGCTTCATATAAATATGATCTATGGTAACATTCAATTTCCTATATAGAAAATTGAATGTTGTCATAGATCAAAGATGTTACGTTACGTTTATGTAGGTATCACGTTACGTTACGTTTATGTAGATATGATCTATGCTAACATTCAATTTTCTATATAGGAAATTGAATGAAAATTGAATGTTGTCATAGATCATAGGTGTCACGTTACGTTTATATAGGTGTCACGTTACATTACGTTTATGTAAATATGATCTATGGTAACATGCAATTTTCTGTATAGGAAATTACATAACGTAATATGATCTATTGCATGTTACCATAGATCATATGTGTCACATTATGTATAGGTGTCACGTTACGTTTATGTAGGTGTCATATTACGTTACGTTTATATAGATATGATCTATGGTAACATTCAATTTCCTACATATGGTTTTATTATTATTTATGATATTAACAACTAATATTGAGGGTAAATGTCTCAACAAACTTCCCACAGGACTTATGAGAACATAAGTTTTTTAGTAGGACCATATGTAGCATAAGTCTCTCTAATAGGACTTATAAATAATTTTCCCTTAATATAATTATATTAAAATTGTAAAACTTATCGTATTTTTTATAATTCATTATTTTGTTAGGATAAAATACAAATACACCCTTTGGTCCCGTTTATTTCCGATTATAGTGGTCCGGAGTGGACTATTAGTGAGGAATAGGAAAATAATATTATGTGCAAAGTGAGTTCCGAATTTGTAGTCCTCTTCATACTATAAAAGCCCTTGTCAAGCGGATTAAGAGTCTGGATTGAAAGATGGTATTAGAAAATAATTTGTTCGGCTTAGAGTATTACTAGTCATCTAGGAGACATTCAGTCGGTCAATCAGCCAAGTGCAATTTTATTTTGTTTTTATTTTTACATGTTGGGCAGCACATTTTAAAATAATGTTATTTAATAAATTGTGTTTTTTATTAAGTAAAAACTATGGTTTTTATTTGTTTTATTATTTTATATAAAAATAATTTAACAATCCTTAAACTATCAATTATCATTAAACAAACACAATTTTACTTAATACATTCACTATCAATTCTTTTACTATTAATCTCTTCTATTCTACTTTTAAAAACAAACGTTTGAGATTTGCTTAAGATACAAATTATCTTATAATTTCGAAAATTACAAAAGAAAGAACGTATGTAAAAAAAAAAAAAAAAAAGACATTTTTTGGATCCTCCTGTGGTTGGCAAAGTACACAAACACGACTCTGCTACTCTGCTTGTTCTTGATTCTATATGATCATCCTCTTCTCCGCTCGCAATACATTTTCATTCACTCGTTTAACCTTTCGTCACTACACTTCTTCTTCCCCTCTTCTCGACCCATCTCTCTGTCTCCTCCAACTTCTCCAATTCTCGATCGACCATCAATCTCTGAATCTCGCCAAACAGTCCCATGGCCGTGTCTTCCATCTGGGTTTCGACCAACACTCTCTCATTGCAACAAAGCTCATCTCCGCATACTCTCTTTGCAAAAACCCATCTCACGCGCGACACGTTTTCGACTCGGTTCGATTCAAGAATGTGTATTTATGGAACACAATGATTAATGGGTACGCAAGAAATTATCTGTATAATGAGAGTTTTGAATTGTTTAATCGAATGTGCCGAAGTGAGGACTCGCCTGATGATTTCACAGTTTCGACTCTTTCGAAAGTTTGCGGTGAAATCGGAAACTTGTATGCTGGGAAAGCGATTCACGGCGTGTGTATACGAACTGGGTTTGTTTCGGATACTGTTGTTGCCAACTCAATTGTGTCTATGTATTGTAAATGTAAGGATTTTATTGAATCCCGCAAGGTGTTTGACGAAATGCCGCACAGGAATAATGCCTCTTCTTGGAACGCTCTAATTGCAGGTTTCATGGCTTCTAGGGAGTGTGCTTTTGATAGTTATATATGGGAATTGATTAAATATATGCAGATTGAAAAGTTGAAACCCGACGCATTTACTGTTTCGAGTCTCCTTCCTCTGTGTGGGGGAGATGCTGAGAAATTGAATTATGGAAAGGAGCTTCATTGTTACATTGTAAAGAACGAATTGGATTTGGGTTTGGGTTCAGGTTCTGATGTTCATTTAGGATGTTGCTTGATTGATGTGTATTCAAGAAGCAATAAAATCAATGTGGCTAGACGGATTTTTGACCGCATGAAGTCTAGAAATGTTTTCGCTTGGACAGCTTTGATCAATGGCTACGTACAGAATGGAGCATTCGACGAAGCCCTGGTTCTTTTTCTTGAAATGCAAGTGAGGCATCTAGTAGAACCCAACAAGGTCTCCCTTGTGAGTGTTCTCCCCGCTTGTAGTTCGTTTGCTGGTTTAATGGGTGGGAAACAAATCCATGGATTTGCCATCAGAAAGGAATTGAATGATGAAGTTTCTTTATGCAACGCTCTGATTGATATGTATTCCAAGTGTGGGAGCTTAAATTGTGCAAGACGAGTCTTCAACAATCATTCTTTTCGTAAAGATTCAATATCTTGGAGTTCGATGGTTTTTGGATATGGGTTGCACGGCAAGGGTCAAGAAGCCATTTGTTTGTATGAGGAAATGCTTCAGCTTGGGATTAAACCAGACGTGATTACAATAGTGGGTGTGCTCTCTGCTTGTGGTAGATCAGGATTGGTAAATGAAGGGCTTGATATTTATAAATCAGTTGTACAAGATTATGGAATTAAACCGACACTGGAGATATGTGCTTGTGTGGTCGATATGTTAGGTCGATCAGGCCAGCTGATGCAAGCATTGGATTTCATCAAGACAATGCCTATGAAACCTGGTCCTAGTGTTTGGGGTGCTCTTCTTAGTTCTTCTCTACTTCATGGGAATTCTGAGATGCGCGATCTGGCTTATAAGTTCCTTACTCAGATAGAACCGGAGAACCCTTCTAATTATGTCTCACTTTCAAACTTATATGCTGCTTCTAAGAAGTGGGATGTTGTGGCTGAAGTGAGAACAATGATGAAAGAAAAACAACTAAGGAAGTTGCCTGGATGCAGTTGGATAACAATTAGTAGCGAAACTCACAGCTTCTATGTTGCTGATAAAATCCATCCTTGTTCTGATAGGATTTATGAAATGCTGCATGAACTCTTTCTAGCAATGAAGGGAGACAATAATTTTGCAGATTATGAATATTTGATGTAGATTTTGGGTATTAGAGGTAATCAGGACATTGCATTGTGCCTAAGTTCTGTAGTGCTACAACGGACGGAGTGGCTTGAAATATTAAGAATATTTGAGAATAAAGAAAATTGACTTATTATCTTTAATTCAAACTGTCATCATCAAAATTAAGGTCAATTATCATCAGGATTGCCTCTAGTCTATAAAAGTGGAACGGGCATGCGGTCTTGCTGTAAGCCTCACCTCAAGTCTCATTCAAGTGATCTAAATCGTTCATTTTGTAAATTCCTACATATAAATCATAAATCAAACATAAAAAGAATCAAATTAATAGTAGCCACATTATTTCATCATTTTAGTCAAAAATAAACATATAAACTTCATTGTAATTTTAAAATATGCATTGCATTGCACCAAAGGGAGAAAGAAATTGCATTATTAAATGGGTCAAAAGTATTACATATAGATATACAACAACAATCTTACATCCCACAAAGAAAGCATTAACAGCTAGCCTCATAATACAATGATAACAACAAACAAAGATGAGCAGGAAATCTATCCAAGGATACTTTGGCAAGGAAACCTATATATTTGGTGACTCTGCAGCATATCAATACTACCATAAGATGCCAAACTAAAAAAAGATCTTTGTCATTCACATAATAAAATATTTCCTTGGTATTTTCCTGTCTCTGTACTTCACAAAGCTTCTCCTATGAAATCTTCACAGGATCAAAAATAGTGTATCCACCAACTAATAAATGGTCCGAGAATCTCAATGCTACTCAATTTAACAATGCAAGTTTTTATTGTCAAGGAAATTGTGGATCATGGTGTCAGGTCAAAATTTGCTTCCAGTAGTGAATGAACATGGGCAAGAGAAGACACCTTGTAATCTGGCTTAAATTCCACATCCGCGTATTTGGGAGAATCATACCTCCCTGTTTCGTCAAGCAAGCATGTAAATGCTCCCGCTTGTTTCCCACAAGCAACCTGCAAAGACCAAGTAAAGCATCTTTAATTTACACAGAAGCATGTTTTGATTCAAACAAATTTGACAAAAGAATGTGAAATTAAAAATATATGTACAAAAACAGCACCTCAAAATGAATCAGAAATGTTCTTAACAAATATGGTGCAAATGATGGAGAGAGAAATAGAGCAGAACTCACATCATCTTTAAGGCTATCCCCAACCATCATTACTTCATTAGGTTGAACTTCCCAAACTGAACAGATATGTAACAGTGGAGCTGGATCTGGTTTATAAGGACGAAATTCCCTGCTCAGTGCAGGAGCAAATGTCACCTGTAGCAACGTGCCCATGAAATATGACAAAATTTGTAAGATATTAAATTTATAAATTACTTAAAGATGTTGAACAATCCAAGTACACACTTTTAACTCTACTTGGAACAAAATGTCAAAACACTTTTAACACTAGTTTCATTAAAATTGTTTTCTTGGTTGACACATCTATCTTTATATATCTGGAATGTTCATCCCCCAAAATAAGACTTGTTTCAGATCAAAAACAGTTCTAAAACATTCCACATTTTAGTCCAGGCTCTTCATTCACCAGGAGATAGAATGACTAGTTAGTCTATAATAGGTTCCAGTTCGAGAGCACGATAATAAAACCCCCTACAACTAGACAATCCTATTCAACCAAGAACTGTGAATAAAAAATTAAAAAAGAAGGAAAAGAAAAACAAAACTACAATAAGAAAGGATTATCTAGGTTATAGAAATGGAGTGTCTACAATGCTTCAAGTGCAAGGCAAACATCAAAGCATTTTGATACCTTTTTCATTGTCATCCAGCTCACTGTACAGAACAGGTTTCTCATAAAAATTCATATATTCGTAGAAAATGCAAACAGGTGAATCTAGTTCATAAGTGAAAGATGAGAAAATGAATAAGGAAAAGTAAAGTGCTCCACAAACTTTCATTATCAAGTTGGTTATTGTGGAAGGGAAATGTATGGTCTGATGACAAGCAATCAAAATGTCAACATGAAAGAAGAAAATATCATGAAACTTTATTTATTTTGGCATATGTCATGGAAAAAGAAGTATGACCTATGTGTTTCCTTTGCAGCCTGCGGCTACATAATAATTTTTAATGCAAGATAAAAGCATAACACTAGGAATACGATACTTCCCTTACCGTCGATGCCAATAAAAATTTATCAGAAAATAAAGTTAGTAAAGAAACAAATATCATGATATATAGATTATAGATGTGTAACTTCATGTTGAAAACAACCAGCTTTATAGACGTAAACATTCAAAAACTTACCCCAAACCTCGAGTGAAACAAATCAACTGCTGCCTTGACATTCCTAGTGATTAATCCCCTTCTGAGGAAAAGGTAAACCTTCTGTTAACCATAGCTACAAAGAAAAAACTAAGAAAAATATAATACAGAGCAAAAAAAGATTTTAGACCTTACATGGCTTTGGCATACAATTTTTTTTTTAAAAAAATGACACAAAAAAAAAAAGTCATTCTTTCAGCATCCAGTGGGAAGATTCTTAGAATTGATAATTCAAGGAGAAGAAAAAATAGTATGCCTAGCACGTTCATGGTAGTTGCCAGTGGGGGAATTGGCTGATCATTTGCTTATACGTTGTAAACTGATGAACGATATTTGAGCTTTGTCACTATCATTATTTGTAGTTGTAAGGGTAATGACCAAATAAGTGGCCGCTCTTTTTGATAGTTACAGATGGTGCTATTATGGGGGGGAAAAGAAGGTGTGGAATGTGATGTGAAAAAATGAAGCAATGCTCTTTGGATAGAGTGGACACTCAAATTTATAGATGGAAGAGCATTTTTCTGGATTGATGCACAGTTGGTTGCATGGGCGTCAAACCCATACCTTCGTTCATTAATGAAATTTGTAAAGAAGAATTCTTTCCTTTTTTCATTTTTTTTCTTCTAAGGTTCACAGTTGGATATGAAAGTGTGAATGTGTTGTGCCTGTTTTGGCGCCTCTAACACAATACAATTACTTATCACCAAAAAGGGGGAAGAAAATTTAAATTTATCGTTGCAGAAAAAAATAAAAATCAAAGTCCAAGCTCAGGCAACCATAAGTTAGTGACATCTCTAACAAGAAGATAATGTTAAGGACTGAAACATTAGCAAGAAAATTTTACCTAATATTCCTTGAATCAAGAAAACCACAAAGTTCTAATGCACCTGCACCATAATTCACCTATCAAAGAATTAGAGAAATATCTGTAAAGTTCTTGAGACCAAATGAGCCGAAAACTTACCTTTGCACAAAAGATAATTTTTTTAAAGAAGATATATTTTGGGGGAAATTACAAATCAGTGCACATGACAAAAAATAATTACAAACACATGGGGGTTACAACTCTTTTTGTGTGAAAAAACACATCAAGAGTTGCACCCCAAGAAAATTCTCACCCCACTACAAGAAAAGGGGGTAAAAAACACGGAAGCATTAGCGACGGCGCTTGTCCCGTCGCAAAAAATAGTTTTTTGCGACGGCAGCTTAAACCGGCGCAAATGAAGGCTTTAGCGACGGCGTTGTCCCCGTCAGTAATAAAAAATGCACGGATAGAGGAGTAAATGCATCAGTATTAGCAACGGATGTTTTTACCGTCGCCAAAAAAAATGTTTTGAGATGACATACGTTTGCTGTCGCAAATAGTTTACATATTGCGACGGCAAATGTCCGTCGCAAAAAAGTCTAATTTAAACGGCGTCGTTTTATGAACAAAATACTTGCCATTTGCGACGGTGTAAAACCTACCGTCGCAAAAAGTGAAAAAAAAATTTGCCCCGCTCTCCCCTATTCATCTTGCCGCTCGATCAAAACATAATCCAAATCCCTAAATGTTTGAAACAAATTTTTTTCCCCCAAATCCCTACGAAGCCGAACGGCTGTATTGATCATTTAATCAAATCCCTACGAACGGCGAACGGTGGTGCGGTGGTGCTGCGGCGAGGACGACAGGTACCGGCGGCGAGGACGACAAGTCTTCTCTCTGCGTATGCTCTCTCTCTCTCTCTCTCTCTCTCTCTCTCTGTATATATATATACAGATCTGTAGATCATCTGCGAATGTATATGATATATCTGTATCATCTATATATATAGTTTTTTGCGACGGCAGATTAAACCGTCGCAAATGAAGGATTTAGCAACGGCGTTGTCCCCGTCGATAATAAAAAATGTGCGGATAGGGGAATAAATGCATCAGTATTAGCGACAGATGTTTTTACCGTCGCCAAAAAAATGTTTTGAGACGGCATACGTTTGCTGTCGCAAATAGTTTACATATTGCGACGGCAAATGTCCGTCGCAAAAAAGTCTAATTTAAACGGCGTCGTTTTATGAACAAAATACTTGCCATTTGCGACGGTGTAAAACCTACCGTCGCAAAAAGTGAAAATTTTTTTGCCCCTGCTCTTCCCTATTCATCTTGCCGCTCGATCAAAACATAATCCAAATCCCTAAATGTTTGAAACCAATTTCTTTCCCCCAAATCCCTACGAAGCCGAACGGCTGTATTGATCATTTCAACCAAATCCCTACGAACGGCGAACGGTGGTGCGATGGTGCTGCGGCGAGGACGACAGGTTTGCTCTCTCTCTCTCTCTCTCTCTCTCTGTATATATATACATTATAATTCTAATTGCATTGATATTATTCCCAACTTAAAACTAAAATATGTTTTCATTGTTTTCCAATCATTTTATTTTTTTGAAAATAAATAATAACACTTAATTTGTATATTTAAATAAATAATATTAACATTTATGGAAACACTCATTATTTCCAATCATTTTATTTTTTTGAAAAATAATAAACTTTTAAAAATTCACAACCTATTTTTATATATTTAAAAAAAAAAATATTTGTTAACGGGTCTCTTATTTGTGGCCACTTGCTAAAAATGTTGGAAATGAAAATATACATGACTTATAAAAGTGAATGATGTATAATCATTTTTAGCCTGATTAATCAATTGTTTTAGTAGGAGTGTTTACATACTAGTTTAATTTGTTTATGAGATGATCCAAGTACTAAATCTATCCTTAGAGAAATTTTGGAATCATAAATTATGAAATTTTAGAAATCGAACCAAAACTAAACTGCAAATTTGTTCAAATCTAGTTTAGTTCCACGATTGAAGAGTTTCAAAAAACTTCATTGGTATACTTCAAATTTCATAATATAACCCAACAAATTTCTCATATTATATACACTACTTAATCACTAAAGTAATGCAATTCTCAATAATATAAGAAGTGTCCAATAAAAAATAATATGAAAAATTATATATGAAGAAGGGTGTGCATTTTCATGCTGAAAGGCCAAAGTGTAATCGGAATTGTAAATTGCAAAAATGGGCTATGAAGAGTCTATTCTTTTTATTTGTTGTATTCTATAATAACACTGCTTGCATTTTCGAATGTAAATGGTACTCCTATTTCGTTTTGTGATCCGTCTATATTGGTTTTGAACTACCTGGTTGTTTCCTTTGAATATTGCAATTTCAACTTTTTGATAATTGACAAAATCTTTCTATGGAATAGAAATCCTAAGGTGCAACTTTTGTTATCCCCTTGCTGATCAAAAGGAAACCTTCCTGAGCTGAAACTTTAAGTTCCAGTCACCACTCTATCGACAGGTAATGGTTCTGTGCTTAATTTGGTTATACTGTACATCTATCTAGTTTGTGAACTTCATAACCATAGCTAGTGCAGTTCTGCTATCATTTCATTTTATGTAATTTTTGCATTTTCTTTCAAGGAGAGCATATCTTACAATGTTCCCAACATGTAGCGTGCGAGGCATTTAAGTATTTACGTTACCTGGTTGATCTTTGCTGGTGTGTTTGTGGAAGTAATTTGTAGTATGGAAAGTAATTGGGCCTCCATATATATAGATAGAAAAGAAACTTGGACTGGGCTTTCTTATTCTACTTTGTTACATAAGATTATGTATGTGATGTTCAAAATTATAATATACAGAATAATGATCCGTCTTTATTAAATAATTTTTGAGACAATATACTTGATTAGTGTGTTTTTGTATAACTCATCTATCACGTTTATAAATAATGCCGCATAGTATTATGGAATACTAATAATTTGGAGAATTCTACCATACAAATCCATTTATCATATGCATCATTAGTTATGTCATTTTTTTTTTCTTTAGTTATGATGAATTATCTTCGTTAATTATGATATTATTTTAGTTAAGACTTATAAGATATTTGGTTATGCCTCATGTGGTGTTTAGTTATGATTTATTTATTTTTTTAGTTATGACTCAGAAAGTATGAAATTATATCATTTTTTTCTTCAATTAATTGATCTCACGTGTTGTTGTATAAGTATTTCATTTTTTATGTTATCCTATTAAATCGGTAAATAACTAACTAGGATAAGACTACCTACCTATTCGAGGAGTTAATGTCCCAAAATCACCAAACGGCGTCGCTTTAACACAAAACTTGGCACACACGACCGCCTAGGCACGAGAGACTTTTGGGAGAAGACGGGGCTCGAATCGGGTTCTCGGTTTGGGAGTTAGAGCCGGATTTCACTTTAGACAAACTACTTCCT